TTTGCAAATGTAAAAAAAAAAAAAAAAAAAAATTTAATGTAGGCTGCTGTGCACGAATGATACAACAAACTGACAAAAAACTGATAAACCTTAGAAAAAGAAAAATCTTAACAGTTAAAATAATAAAATATTGTAAAAAAAAATATTAAAAAATCACATACACATTTTAATTTTCTGATTAAAAATTTTACAATGAATCTATAGTTATAATAGAATTATGCATATAATTACAGTAATAAATGTATGCTTTTACTTCACATATTATTTCAAACTATTTTTTACAACTAAAGAATGTACTGACAGTTTATAAAAAAAAAAAATATCTTAGAAAGAAATGTAAAGAATGATAATAAAAATTATGATAACTTCAGATTAACCACCACCAGCTCTTTATTGACAGAAATTGTTCATAGTAGCTACTTAATGTTCAGCTTTAGGATAAACTAATGCATCAGCTTTCTACACAATTGTGTACATCTCATTCATAGGTTAATCTGGTCTCATTATCAAGATAAGCTCACTCTAAAGTACATTGATATTTTTTTAGCTTAAAAATATTATTATTTTACAAATTAATTAACTTTTGGGAAACATCAACTAACATGTAGTTGTTCTAAAATACTGGCCAGAAGTGAATATCCATAAACTTTGAACAAAAATATGCTCTGCATTATTTATGTAGCAGAAATAGCGAATACATTCAGTCAAATATTTTGGAATTTGTTGAGCATTCGTTTTGTTAGTTGTAAGGATACACACATACAAAATTAACAAATGATGGATCATTTAGTAAGTAGTTCATTAAATTATTTTAAAATGACAAATCCAGTAAGGTTAGAACAAATATGCATTGTGTAATCATAAACAATAGATATACACTGTTATCATTACTTTCTACTTATGAGGTAGTCCATTCCATCAAATGAGGCCATAGATGATACTTAGAATAAATACAATTTATAATTTTTGTAATGTAACACAAAGAAACAAAGATTACGGTAACAGCATTGACAATCAGCATTTTTTTAAAAACTTTAAGTTGTTTTTTAATCAAATAACGTTTTGCTAATGCTCCTGTTTCTAAATACAACTTGCATTAATTTCATTTTTTTTAGGTACAAAGAAGTTCATCTAGTAGTAATAAGCTCATAAAGTAAAGGATATGTCACTTATTTTTTAAATATTCATTAAAAAGATTCACAGCACATGAAACAAAGATAAATATTGAAACAAAGCTAAACATATATATCAGAATTTCCAAAGAGATGTGATTTATAATAAATGAAGAAAATATTAAATATTGTTAGATATTGTAAATTCATCAAGGTAAATGATAAATGGACAAAAAAAATTATGTCTTTCATTTAAAAAAAAGTCATCTTTAAAATTGGGGAATCAACAAGAATATATGAAATGGAATCAGAGGTAGAAGACAGCAATGAGGAAATGGAGATGCCTTTATTATAACAATAATGGATACATGGATAGGGGGTAAATAAATGTACATTTAATAAGAAATGCACTGCACACACAGTAATCTTGGTTTGTGCAAACTGGAGAACAGAAATAGAATTTGACTGGTAAAAATTAATTAAATAGAAGCACGGTGCATGGTGTGTAAGATACTTAACAGTATCAGTTCAATTTCATCATCTTAAAATTTGATATCATGAACATTTTTTTCTTTTAAAATCCAATCATTGAACATGAACATCAGGATTAACAAACCAAATCTTGCTTGAAATCATTATTAAAAATAGATAGGCCTATAATAAGGTCAACAGTTAGGGCTTCTCAAGTTAAAAAATACATCCCTCCATGTTTTTATAGTATTATTATATGCTTCAAACGGAACAGTTATTTATGATTTAGTAAACACAATTTTGAATGAGTTTTATCTTTCAACTCAATCAGTAATCTTTTAAAAAAAATACACTTTCATTAGTATTCTTTTTATTTCAAAGAATCCTGCTACAGTTTTAATTAGGCAGGCAAAAGCAATGCCCACATAGGAATTTCAGAAATCTCTGACTATTACTTGGCAACATTTTATTGGAAGTCCCTAATGGAAGGGGAAGCACAAGTATTTAGGAGTTTTACAATACAATACTCTGGTAGAAAGTTACTTAAAATTAATTTTTCTAAATTTTTCTGGTAGTGAATTATTTAAAATCAGTATTTCTCTATCCATAGCTGTACTGGTAGAGAATTATTTAAACATAATATTTCTCTATGTAAAGCTGGTAGCCAATTATTTTAAATTACCCAAAGTCTTTCGCATTTATTAAAACTGAATTCCTAAATAATGGAAAATAAAAAAGTTACATGTTTAAGTTCAAACATTTGTTGCTAGAAAAAATATAATGTAAATATTATGATACTTTTTTTTTATCACTGTCAAATTCAGATGTTACAGCTATTGTCTATGCCTGTAAATAATTATATCACATGATTTGTTGAGGTTTGGGAAAAAAAATCTAGAACATCTGTCCTCATGTTACATTTCATTCCGAAGACCAGGATTGTCCAACTGGTGGTCCAATGGTGGCCCAAGAGGCCATTAGTGGCATATTTTGTGGCAGTTTTTAAAAATTTAAAGACATTCAGGACTCCCTTAAACATGAGCAATGGTGTAAAGTTAAATGTATTATTTGCTAAATATCCATTATTATAATACTTTTATTTTAATAAAATATGTATTATATCAGTCATCTATTTAATTCAGCTGAATATTAAAAATATTGTAAACAAAGAACAGACAGATTTTCTGTTTTGGTAGAAAAACTATTTTTAAAAAAACCACTAACATTATTTATGGGCCTGATTTCCCTGTGTGAAAATTTCTATGAATATAACATGAGGTCCTTAGCTGACTAAAAGTTGGACAGCACTGATGTAGACAATGGAAAAATGGTACTTTTTATAAAACATTCAACATAATCAATTATTTAGAGGCTTAGAAAATACAGAATAAGCATATTTTGATGACAATAGAATCAGATTTCACACATGCTCTCTCTGCACTGGATTAGTGTGGCAATGTTTGGGACCGGGCTCACTCTTACAACTTAAAGTTATGAGACCATGGTTATATCATATGAAAATATTATAATTTCCCGATGGAGTTGATCAGACATAACTTTGATAGTAGCTGTTCAGAATTTCAATAAGAGAGCACCTTTTGTTTAGCTTATTCACTAGTATGCTGCCTTTAACCGCGTCAGGCTGTAATCCCTGAATATTTAAATAAAGTTTGTGTCAAAATTGAGGATTCAATGGCTGTGTCCCTGAAAGTTTTAAGACTCAAAAAAGAAATAATTGATACAAAGCAATGCACAAAAATAAGCAAAATATTTAAACAATAAACTATAAATATTTGTGGATCTGGATCAGTATTCCGTTTCAATAACTCCTTCACTTTTGTTACGTATGATCATATGGATTGGGTTAAAATGTTTTAAGTTGAAAGCCAACTTAGGGGAAAAATGTTCACTTACAGACATGTGAATAAACTGTCAGGTAGTAAATGCAAAGCCTTAATTGCATATGGAAAAAATCACCATATTCTGACTCAAGCACTAAAATGATAACACACACAATAAATATATGTATATATATATATATATATATATGCTCAGTAAAGCATTAAAAATAATTTTCTCTAACTTCCAACACAAGATAAGGCTGGAAACAAAACTCTTCATTTTCCCCTTTCATCAGTCTTATGCCAAACTAAACTTGATTGAAAACACAGAGTGAAATATGCATGAAAATACTGCAATAGCATAGAGATATTGAATTTTTGTTTATTTTTAACATGAGCTAAATTTCTTTTAAATGCTCATAGAACTGTTTCAGTGATGATTCACTTTCACAACTTGCAATGGATCATCATCCTAACAGAATTTGTTCAAAAAAAATGGTAAGGTGGGACCAATGACTCTCTTTAAATGAACATCAGAGTTTACCCTATAGACAAAGTTGCTGTAATGTCAACATCTTCATACACTTGAACTCACACTCAGAGCTGTAGTGGGAGGTATATAGACAGGGTGGGCGGACTATTTTGTTTAAAAAAGAATCGTGCGTACTCTCTATTCTTTTGGAGGGCACAAAAATGGTGGCCTTAATACTGTTAGGCCAGCACTCCATCTTTTAAGTCCACTGCTTAATGGCACAGTTTATCACCTTATTCAGAGTCAATTTCGTGGTAAGCTGCAATATTTAAGTTCCCTTACAAAATTACTGATATTTGTGCTGCTTATAAAATACATGAGGTAGAATGTAGTTTTTACAACCAATGTAAAATCATTTTTTTGTATAATTAAAAAGAATTAAGACTCAAAGTCATTATGTGACTCAAAGCCGACAGCCAGGTTCATTATAGTTTTAATGCTCATGCAGTAAGTACTGCTTGATATAAATCAATACAACAAATCACCTTTTCCCTAATTTTTTTGTTTTTAACTAACCAGATAAAAATCAGAATACAAATTATTTTGAAATCTGTTTTGACTTTTGGTGGCAGTTTAGTATATTAACATCAGGCCAAAACTGTACAACTTTAGCCAATTAGGCGCAGCTACTGTACTACAAGAACATTCCAGATTTAAATTAAGAGGTGAAATTGAAATTCACTTTAGGCTCTTCATGTCATCTTATTCACAAGGAAGGTGTACATAACTAGAGTGAATGGAGACTTCATGAAAATGACGTTCTTTCTTTACCAGTTCTGGTGACTTTGCAAAGCAATGCGGTGTTGTACAAATTGTTTTTGATCCCCTATAAAATGTTCTCGAAAGAGCTTAAAATTTATTTTTTAAATTTTAATTTCTGCCATGTGTTCTAGAAGTGTACACTGTTTTAGTAAGAGATTTCAAACTGTCTTCTCCGTATTTTGACAGACCATAACATCACATTGACCTCCAGGATCTGATGAAGAGAGATAAAATGCTTGAAGACTTCATTCAATGCATCATCTGATCAGGGCGGTGCTGCTGGTTCACAAAGTGCAGGTGGAAATCATTTCTGTCAGCACAGATCTTGTGACAAATGCTGCACTGCCATGGGCTCATCTCCCCATGAAGGGACTTGTGCAGAAAATAAAGTCCTCGCTCTTCAAAGCTGATGCGGCAGTGCTGGCAGCGGTACAGGCGTCCTTGAGATTCATAGTAGATTAATAAGTCTTCCAGGGAGGGAAGTTCACCAGGGAGATTGGTGTTATTGTATTGTGTACCGATTTCCCTTGTTATCTGAAAGACGGAGAGAAATAGTAAGATATGATTTGACCACATTATCTGAGGGAACTTTCAAAAGTAAGGAATTTTTAAAAAATTACTTTCTGCTATAGCAATGTGTAAAATTTAATTTATACTTATATTAATATTTTTGTTGTACTATATTATATATATATATGTATCCTGCCTAAAAATGAAAGAAAAGTAAGTAGGATAGAGATATAAATTTTATATAAATTTAATTTATACTTATATTAATATTTTTGTTGTACTATATTATATATATGTATCCTGCCTAAAAATGAAAGAAAAGTAAGTAGGATAGAGATATAAATTTTATATAAATTTTATATAAATTTAATTTATACTTATATTAATATTTTTGTTGTACTGAAGAAGGCATTTGCTGAAACATTTGCATTTGTTTTCTGTGTGACCGTAACAAAAAGCTTAACCTATATTGTTTTATTAACACCAATTGCTTGTGTCTCGTTAATCTGCTGTATGTCACATACCTTAGGTTTTGAGATATTGACATGTAGCTCAGGAATTTCTTGCGACCTCTGAACTAGGCCTTGGAGAGTAGAGAAAAACTCAGAGAGGTTACTAGTTGAATCTGCAATAGATCGAACGTGCTCTGAGCTGGGACCTCCATGTCTCATTGATCCCATAGGGTTCATGGAATTCATGGAGTTAGCTCTGCGGTTAGGAGGTAGAAATCTTGGACTGCTGTGGAACTTGTTGGCAAGAGAGTCTAGGCCAGGAATCGGGGAAGCATCTTTGCGCCCAGTAGCCATTGAGAGTGGGCTCCCTTGCTCTGGGTCAGACGGGTTTGAGTATGATCGGGCCAGAGTTGTAGAGAATGGAGGTAAGCGGCTCTGTCCACGTGAGGAGTTGCTTATGGTGGAGCTTGGAGATCCATGATTGAAATGATGGTGGTCCCTGGAGGATGGTGAGGCCGGAGGGAAATGATGGTGGGATGGCTCAGGGGGGAACCTGACACTCCCTGGAGATAAGGGCTCCTGCTTGACCTGCTGCGATCCGTCTCCCCCGTGATGACCTTGACCTCTGCTGGCCAACTGTGAACAAATGGTATCAATCCTACGCATGGCGTCAGAGTCCATTGTCAAAGACATGTGCCCTGGAGACTTGTCCGGTGAAGTCAGAGTAGGGCTGGGCAATGACATGACAACCTGCAAGCAAAGCCGAATCAAGTAATGAACATCTATTACATACAAAGCCAAATCAAGTAATGAACATCTATTACTTGGGAGAATTATCCCATACTGTAAGTTATAGGTTTAAATTAAAAGTTTTTTAAAAATAAAACACAATGAATAATGTTCAAAGTATTTTGTTCATAAAATCACAGTGTATTTATAATTAGTTTAATTCTTCTGTCTAGAGCAGGCCTGCACAACTCAAAGTGTAAGACGGGCTGTAAAACTTTATTAAAAACTTGTGAGGGCTAAGAAAATAGGACAGGGGGGAAAAGCTATTAAGAAAATAATAAAGAATATTTCATTAATTTGCGGGCTTCAAAGTGGTTGCTGGCGGGTCAGCTAGCCGTATGTTGTGCAGGCCTGGCCTAGAGTGTTTCAAATGCCTTTAAAACTACTTCTCTCATTTAAAATTAAACTACAATAATTACAATTAACACATCTAAATTTTTAATCAAATAATTTGAGTCCCTTATGTGTTAAACATCTAATGGGCTGATCCTTTGGGCCAGTTTGCAGTAGTCGTTCAGAATATGCAGAGCTTCCAGCTTTTTGAGATATGTTCTTTTTAATTTTAATATTTTACACTGTTTTGTTCACAGAGGAAGACTATTTGCTGAAAAAATTCATGGTTTTGTCCTGTCTCCTTTCAGTTTTCCACTGCTCTGGTTTTTTTAAATTTAAATTTCTCATCTGCTGAAACCTCATAGATGATTTAAAATCAATCCATTGATGTTCAAATGTCTTGCTTTAAAACCATCTTAACTGAGTACATTTAAAATTGAAACCAATATACATTTTTTAACTACCAACTTAGAGGTTTTAAAAATATTAGAGGTGAGCGGTATTAAATTACTTGAGAAGGTGGATCGCCACTGTCACTATCAAAGCTGGATGAATGTCTGCGAGTGTCATAGGTGAGCAACTTATGGTTTTCCTGTAGATGCTGGTTCAATGCTTCAACGTTGGTAGCAGTGAATGGACACTGGCTGTTTTTAGACAAGTTGTAAAAGTTAGATTCCATCATGTAAGAAAACTTAAGATTACGGTATGTAAAATTAGTTACGGAACATCAAAAGTTGATAATCAATGCAATGATAGTGGAAAAACGTCTTATTCAAATATTTATTTTTAATAGCCTCTGAACATTTTTTTATGTACCGTTTATCCATTTTAGTGATATGCTTTCGCAATTAACTTTGTAATGGTTCTTGCTTTTTTAAATACACGATTGCCGAGGACTGGCTGTTGTGATTTAACTGGTCAAACAGAAGCATTATTTTCTTTAAAAGAACTAGTAAAGCTAAGATTTTCCAGAAATAATAGAAACAATCAGACCACCAACTATTTCATTCCTTTCTATTTAAATATGTAAATTACTTGCTGAGGACAGATAGAATTAAGTTCTTTTTTTTTTTTTTTTTTTTTTTCCTTAAAAAAAAATTTTTTTTTTTGTTTTTTTCCAAA